GTGTATAAAATTTCCAACGCAACACAACAGTGCATGGTTTAGGATCCCTATAATCCTCCACTAACTTTACAAGTTCATCAAAAGTTTTTATCAGTAGGCTTACTTGGCTGCACTAAGCTCCTTATTAGTGAATAAGTGTTCGAGCCCACACAAGACAATAACACAGCTCTCTGAATATCAGTGTTTCCGTCAACACCTGGATCAGCAACTCTTGTCACGATAAAATGTTGCCTCAAACGTTCAACATGTTCAGTCCAATCTGCATCTTTGTGTCGGAGATTAAACTCGGCAAAGATTGATTATTTGTTTAACCTTCTGTGCTCTCACTTATCAGCAACCTAAGTTTCTATCAAATAATAAATTTTTAACTTACAAACATCATCTTGCAGCTGGCCATGGTGATTGATCGCTTCATATCAGAATTGGTGTCACGTGAAATTGTTAATACGTCGGTGTTGGTCACCTGGCTTGTCTATATACATTTTTTGGGAGACCGGGAATTCTGGGTAATTTAGTATTTACAAATGAATCATGAGAAAAACCTCTACTAATGTTGCATTATGGGATTAAAAGTTACCTCTGAAATAAATTGCATCATGGGAATACCTCAGACTGTCGGGAATGAAAGTAATTAATCAAAACAGTTTTAGTCACGTGACACATCACTACTATATGTTGAACCCTGGGTAATTCCTCCACAAGATTATGGCAAATGTCAGCGATGAGTCAGGGAATTCCCTCCGGAAGTGTTGCACAGATCAGCTGGGAAAATGTAAATCTAACGCTTTTAACAATTTAAGGGACAATTGGAGGTAAAACTTTTACAGGCTCTAGTGATATTTAGTCAAAGGTAGGAGTTCTAAACCATATACTCATTCATCTTAAACGACATGGATTTCAACTGCAGATTGGTAATTTCATAAAGTTCGTTTTCATTTCCTGGTTCGCAATTCTGGTCACAATTATTCCTTCAATATTTCTCAGTGTTAAGGTCAGAAGCTGAAAGAGACCACTCTTACTTGTAAATACTCGTAATATATGTAGAGTGGGTCTCTACAACTACCCTCCCCCAAAGAAAAAATTTGTTTGCCCCCAAACCACTTGTGACTCTTTTCAAATGTCTGATAGTATACTTTTATTGAAACTGAAAAATAAATATAACAAAAAGATTTTTGATTCAGTTACTGTATTTGTGTGGAGGAATGATAGAGGACAACATGTTTTATGGATAAGATTGCCGACAAGTTTGGTGTAGCTTATGTAACAAAGTTAATACAATCGGTTGAAATCACAATAATTGTTCATTAGCATGCGCTGCTATGGGTCGGCAATGAAATAAGAAGAATATAATGATTTCTCAATTAGGCACAGATTGCTTTACGCGACTCAGTCAACTCAAAGTAAATTTTTAATCTGTTAATTTAAAGAGTCCAGTCCTAGTAGTCTTGGTACTTCCTCTTCGGACATGTTTTGTTCATCATCCACTGAGCAACCCAAGAATGGATCACCCAAGAGCGGGCATTCTGCTGTGTCCTGGCATTCTCCCACTCTCACCTTGCGCACTTCAGGTATTGAACTTGATGAACGAGTGGGGGCCTTGGCTAGAGAGGGCCCTGAGCATGCCTCCACTCCTTGCCTTCCTTCGGCGCCGTGGTCAAGGAGTCGGTGGAGTCCCCTTTGTTCCACTTGGTTAGGGGTGAACTTCCTAACACAGCTTCTTGTGATGCGAAGGCCTCCCAGCACCTTATCCTTCCGCTTTCTTTCCTTTCCACCAGGAGGGTGTGGGCATTTCAATCTCACATACCTGAAATAAAACAAGATTCTTACCCGCCTATCTTGTATAAAGGATTTTTAGTATTTTTATACGAACCCCCCTAAGAACTGCAGGTACTAATCTCCTAAGATTATTTACATTCAGTTATACATGAGAAAATCCAGATGATAAATCAAGGACACTAAACCATTTGCACCCCCTTAACGCGTCCAAAGTATCGTCAATTCTAGGTTAAGGGTAGGCGTCCTTGATAGTCACATCATTCAGTCTTCTAAAGTCTATACAATAACGGTAAGTACCATCTTTCTTAGGCACCATCACCACAGGTGAGGCGCAAGGACTTTTGAAGGTCGAGCGATTCCGTGTTTTCATCGAGAGTCTCATTATACCCTGCCTCTTTAGACAGTGGTACTCGTCTTACAGCTTGTTTAACTGGTCGAGCATTTCCCGTATCAATCTTATGTCTAATTACGTCTGTTCTGCCCAAGTCAATTTTTTTCATTTTTCAACAGGAATTGCTCAACTAGTTTTCTGTCTTCATCAGATAAGTGAGTCAGAGAATTGTCTAAAATCGGTTTCATGAAGTCGGGAACTTCATTCATAGTGTATTCATGATACTGATCTTCGGATGTACACACTGCATTACCTGTCTCACCTATTTTCCCGGACTGGGCCTGATTAGAGCAGGTCTCCAAAGCAGATCGAGGGACAGGCAAACTAACATTATAGTACTGACCTTCTGCAGTTACAGTGGTAAGACAAGTCTGCGCATCACACTCCCTGACATATACCGCTTGATCATCAACGGCAATCTCAACCTCCATAGGCCCTTGTACACTACCAGGCCCTGGTCTAATATCAGGTTGAGACTTCGGGCTGCTAGCATAAGGTACATTCCTACTTTCGGGCGAAGCGTGACACCTTAATCTGGATGAAGCCTTTTGCCACCTTTCACTTGCCTGAGGAAGCAAATTCACCCCCACCCTAATATCAGTATCATGATCAGTATCACCATCAAAGTCCGCAATTTCCACACAATAAACAACCGGTTCACCAATGTCATACATCGGTTCACCAGTTACTACTGCTGTATCTTTGTAGAGAAAAATGGGTTCTAGGCTAAGATTACCACTCTAAAAATAAAAAAGGTTGACTGGGGTCAACCAAAGATTTGGCAATAATCAGGGGGGGTATTTTACTCTATCTGTTAGTACTAGTATCACCAAAATACTGACATCGTACTTTCCCAGGTACAATCATTTCAGTCATGGGAGGCACTTTAACTGTACCTTGCATCACTATTTGGCACTGAGTAGACAAATATGTTTCTAAAATACAATCAAAATCTTTGCCGCGCATAGTTAACAGTGCATCCCCGACATTAAGGATTGCATTTTGAAATCATACCCCAAGATGGCCGGAGTTGGAATATTTGCCACAGGAAATTCATGAGTCACCCTGATCCCTTGTCAAAGATAGAGATTTAAATCCAATTTTCCATGACAATTCACTTTCTCACCATTCGCAACTGTGATATTTGCAATTTTGCCATTTTTCTCACATTTGTCTAAAAGACCTAAAGTTTTTGCAGAATTAGCAGAAAGGATACTTATATTTGCGCCTGTATCAATCAATGCTGGAACAGTAACGTCCTCCAATTTCAGTCGCAAATACAAGCCATTATATTTACTATCTGTCAAAAGGTTAAATATATAGGGTCTTTCTACATCACTAGTCGGGATCTGACCCGACTACTGCCCGTTTCCCGAGCCATTTCCCTTCCCATTCCCTTTGGATAAAGACTGGGGACATTTTGGAAAGAAATGATTTTGCGAACCACAATGCCAGCAACAACGAGTACCATTCAATGAGGATGTCGTTTGGGACAATTTCTCAAAAATGTTCAATAGATCCGCAGAGGCTACACCGTCGAAACTTATTCTAAAGTTTCTTCATGAGATTTCAGCCTGGTTTCCATCTCAGAATATGACATCTTGTTTTTAATTCGAATTGACCAAAAGAGTTGAATTGTCATTGGTTTCTGCCATAGGTGACATGCGTTTGGCGTGCCCCTTTTGAAAAGATTCAAATTTCAATGCACTTGTGAGAGCTTAATAAATGAGGTCATGGAAAAGTATTCAAAAGTTTCCCTAGGGATTCCATGAAATGCCTCCTTTGACAATTTTCTAACTTCCTACGCCAGTTCCTTAAGAGTTTCTTTCCCACCCTCAATTTATTTTTCAATTTTGCCCACGAAGTTTCATTTTGTTCGGGTGGTTCAAAACGATATCTCAATGCGGCAATCAAAACATCATATTTGAAACAGTCTTCAAGACTAAGATCGGTCAAAACTGCAAGTGCCATTCCCTGCAAGTTACCTATCAATTGCAATGCCTTTGCCCGTTCATCCCATCCATTCTCATATGCGATAGTCTCAAATTGTGCCAGATAATCACTGAGGCTGGTCTTCCCATCATATTTAGAACACTTTGGAGATTTGTGTGTATCATTTGATATCAATGGGGTCGACACCCTACGACGATCATTATCATCATAGAAACTACGATCCGAGATGCTCGAATTATTGTGACTCGTGGGACGGTTCCGTAAAACATTTTGATTATTTCTGAAATTTGAAGAACCTGCCTCTCCGTTTCCCTGTTCAATACCAATTTGTTCTAAATGATTTTTAAAATATTCTTCAAACTCATTTTCTTTCTCACTGTCATTTGCCCTGATCCTAGTTACAGCATGTGATGGGTCCTCATAAATAGTGAAAGGATTTTTTGGTGAGTTATCCCTGGATCCTCCCTGTTCATAAATCTAACTCGATTTGTACTGGGAGATCCAACCCCTGATTATGATTGGATGCCCCCTGTGATGAATCATTTCCTTGTGACAGTTGACCCTGATACCTGGTACCCAAAGATGTAGGAGGAACATGAGGTGTTACATTTGGTCTTTTATTTATTGCCCCCAAAGATGCATTTTTGTATAGTGTGATGGCATTGGGGTACGAACATGCACTTTCGCACTCCGCATGTCATCAGCATTGATCATCGTTGAGCTTTTGATGGGAGTTGACATTTTCTTCAGATGTTGATCGCGAAAATTAATGGCCGCTTGTAAATTTGTCATGTACCTTTGGTCTCTCTCCTGCCTCTGAAGAGGCAGGGGTAGATGCCAATTACTTGCAGCAGCAGCGAAATGTTGATCATTTTCCTCATCAGGAATAGGCTTCACAGCCCCACACCCCACAAGACTCTGTGGCCCGGTCAGCACATGCTATGTGCACTTGCAGCTCCTCCTGTGTCACAAAGGCCCTCCAGCAAAAGAATGCTCTATCTCTATTCCAGCCAGCTTGAGGTAGGATCTGTTCTTTGCAGTCCTGGAAGAAAACAAAGATATTTACTGGCGTCCCTGCCTTTCTCTCCACTCCTGGGCAAACTTTTACCCCTGAGCGGCTCCAAAGGCATGTTTCATTACAATGGTGGTTAATATGATCAATAATAATTATAAATATATATCTAGATTATTCCGCCTGACTCCTCCCAAGTGACCCTTAAACATCTCATACTCGTCTAGCCACCTTGATTTTTTGCTTTCTTGTCCCCTTTTTCCCGTGACCTGGATAGGTTCATTGATATCTGACCCAGGAGTTTCAACATCCCTAGTTGTTTCAAGTTCCAGGGCGGATTTTGACCTGGAGACATACTTCTTTAATCAGTCATGGTGAATGACTCTCTTATCTTTTTCATTAATTTTGATGAGATAATGTAGATTGTCTAATTTTTCAACCACCTGATACGGACAATGCCTTTTGATAGCAAATTTCAGTGTTCAACCCACTTTCACAGCCGTAATATGAACCCAAACTAGCGAATCTCTCTCGTATGCTTTCAGATTGGTTTTCAGATCATAGCCCCTCTTTTGCCTAGCACTTGCCAATTGAATATTATTTTTGGCTGCTTCGTGAATATTGAGCATCATGTCTTGCAATTGCTGACAATACTTGGTATAATAATCACTATCCAACTCCCCTTGCTCAGTCTCAGGAGGAAGTCCGAGTAAAAGATCAACAGAGGTCCTTACCTCTCTTCCAAACATCAAAAAATTGGGGCTATAACCGGTCGATGCATGAACCGCACTGTTATATGCTGTCACCACGAAAGGCAAACATTCATCCCAGTCCCGTTGGTCAGTAGCTACAATTTTGGATAACATTGCCTCAACAGTGCGGTTTGACCTCTCTACCATACAGTCAGATTGGGGATGATAAGATGTTGTCCTGGTCTTGCTCATCTTAAACATCTCACAAAGTTCTCTTAACAATTTTGACTCAAATTGCGGACTTTGATCTGAATGGATTCGCAAACAAATAAAATGTTTCAAAAAACCCCAAGCCACAGTGCTAGCTTCTTGATTAGGAACAGAACCCAAGGCCAATATTTTGATAAAATAATCTTCAATGGAGACCACATATCTATTCCCCAACAAGCATTCTGGTAATGGCCCCAGAATATCAATTGCCACCCTCTTTAAAGGAGCACCCACATTGTATTGCTTCATTGGAGTCTTATGTTTGCGATTAGGTGGATTCCACCTGACATAATTCACACCCAGCTACCCAACGAGCCACATCTGCCTTGAACCCAACCCAATAGTACTTGTTACGAAGCCTGCTGACCGATTTATTTACACCAAAATGTCTGCTATCCAACGCCTTGATATGCCGAAATCCATTGATCAGGTGGAGCAGCAACTGCTTCATTGAGAGGAACTCTCAATTCCAGTTTTCAACTGCAAACAAACAAGAGAAAAATATCACTAAACAAGTACAGCAAAGAATGACTCATAACAGAATGCAAACAATTTCGAACAAAAAAATATTTCATAAATAAAATAAAAATGAAACTCCCCACCTCCTACAAATCTATTGATTGCCCTAGGTTAGGGAAAGTTGATCAAATATCTAAAGTGTTGTATGTGCATGTAGAGTTTATAAAGGTTATTTGATAAAGTTTTATAAAGATTACAAATACTGACGCACCTAATAATAGTGTGCCGCTGTTAAAAAAGCGTATGTCAAAATGAATAAATTAAAAAAAATGACTTTGAAGAGTTGAAACACATCTGGCCTTTGTTGTGGACCAACCATGGCTTGTACCACATCCTCCACTTCATCATATTCTGACCCCTGATCGACCATTTCCAAATTATGATTATCAAAAAATTCTAAGGGTTAATATAAGAATCAAAAACTAGTTATTACCTTTGATCTACTAGCATTTTCTTCTGTCTTTATTTTCTTAAGGGATGGCTCGCCAAGACCAGGTTCTGGTTTTACTTGATCCACTGATGCCACAGTTTCCCCCATTTCTTCTTTGAGAGACAGTAAAAGGTTGGAAAACTGTTCCTAAAAAATACATGTATGAAACCGATACTGTGCATGTACATGATTAAATGGTAAATCTAGCTAAATAGATAAATAAAAAGCATGATAATTGGCATTACCTTTGACATAAGCTTCTCTATCATCTGCCTATAAGTTGGATGGAGGAGTCTAGCTAGAATGTGTGGGCGGAATAGGTTGTCCCCAAAAAGGTTGAACCTTTTGTCAAACTCCTTACATATCACATCCATGATTTTCGTCTTGATTGTAGGCACAGACTCATCCTCAGTAACAAGAAATACATTTCGGAGTTCCCTATCTACAATATTTGTGATATAATGTTAATAAATTAAATAGGCCTACATGATTAAAATTATCTACTATATGCATTAAACATATTAGGTAAATAATTCAAATTGTCTAAAACGATCTTTTGAATTTGAGGCATATGTAGCAAAGGAATAGCATATTGACTGCCTTTTGATCAATTATGATCGAATTTATTCTTTATTATCGTTTCAAATATCTTCCAAAGAAAATAAATCACACTGCAGATATATAGAGGTTATTTAATGGGAGGGATGGAATATAGATTTTATTCCGAGGGAAAATATGATATTGGCCAAGGAAAATATCATATTGACCGAGGGCGATAGCCCGAGTGTCAATATGATATTTTCTGAGGCCAATATCATATTTTCTCAAGGAATAAATCCATATTCCATCACGACCATCAATAACCTATTTATTTCATAATATTTTTTTTTCAATTTTTGTATGTCATCATCCAATGATGAAAACATTTTCCAAACGATTTTTTTACTTCCTGTAGAGATGTGCTAGACGAAAAGCGTAAAACTCAAGAGAAATTACCGGGAATATTTCTGATACGGGATCTGATACGGGATTTTTGCTGATACGGGATCCAATACGGGATCTGATACGGGATTTTGGCTGATACGGGATCTGATACGGGATTTTTCAAATAACACTTTTATTCCCTGTTATTTTCCCAGGGAAAACATGTTATTATGGAATAAATGATGATATAATACATTCACTATAGATGAGGTAAGCAGCAAATTCCCAGAGTAATCAACCAATTCTAATCATAAACTATATTGTAATTCCTCTCTTTCTATCTCTTAATCAAACCTCTGCCATCCAAATGACCTATATTCGAATCTAGACAGATACCAATTAAATTGAATTTCAATTTTCTATTCCCTCCAAATCCTTACCGTTCGTACGGTCTATTATTTAAACTTAAATAGACTATAGAAATCCTACTCAAAGATATTAATTGAATTAAATCTCCCTTCCATTCTTTCCAAACCTTATTGTTTGAACTTAATAGACTATAGAAATCTTCTTCAAAGATATTTATTGAATTAAATATTATTAAATGTCGGCTGATTATGACTTTATATTTCAATTATCTCTTTGAAACTATTATCTGGCGATTCGATAATCAATTTGTACTTACAAACATTCTCACGGAGACAGATGACATCTGGAATCACAGTCAACGTCTAGTTCTTTATTCCGATCGATTTTAATATTAAGCGCCGTTTATGGTGACTTGTAGTACACAGTAAAAGTTGCAAAAAACGAAAAAATCTTTTAGCGTCCAAATGATGTCTCGTTTGCCTGGTGCCGGGCTGGTAGACAATCAAAACTGTTACAACAAAGCAGGTACAAAGAGCATTTTATACTAAACGCTCAAAGACCGGTATTTTAAAAGATTCCATCTAGGAAAGCATTAAATCACATTTCTAATAGATATTTGAAAGAAATTCCTGCCAGGAATGCCCAAGGTTACATATTTTAGAGGAATTTTAAAGGTTTAGGGTCCCAGTGAATACCGGGTAAGCACATTCCTGCTAGGAATCCAGCTTCAAGAGAAATGGGGAATCCCCGAAATTCCTGTGAGGTATTTTTCTAAATTCTACTACAATTTCTGCAACAGAAGGCATTTTCAAGGCTTAAACACTGATTCATAAGATATAATTTATGAGGAAGCCAATATCACCATCATCTGATTACCAGAGTGAAGTTTCATGATCAAGGTCTGCATTCACTAAAGCCAGGCAAAAAATAAGACAACAAAACAATTATCACCCAGAAAAAGTCTCCATTAACTTTCAATGCACTTAAATTGCCCAGCAAACCACAAGCGATTATACTTTCTAAAACCACAAACCATTCAAAGGATTTTTAACCATACTGCATTTTCCTATGTTGCCCTTTATGCTTTAATAGGAAGAGTGGATCTTTACAACTGCCCCCCTTAAAGAAAAAATGTGTTTGCCTCCAAATGCCAGAGCTTCGAGTCAATAACTACACGCTCTGCTTACTACTTCTATTATTTACATTATATTACATAGTTTCCCAAAAATTTAAAAGTCCAAAAAGGTATAATTCAAATTAACATAATCAAAAAGGTACATTTTTCCAGCCTAAAAAGTCAAATTAATCTCAAAAGTCCAAAAAAGGTATGAAGTAAACTTTTGCAGCCAATTCACAGTTGAGAAAAGTTCAGGGTATCGATAATTGTCACTTTAGCGTAGATTTCCTAATTTGCTGCTTCAACATAAATAAACGTGGGCTTGGAAATGAAATTAATCTACTGTCAGCTTTTTGGAACTCAAATAAATCCTTTGAGTCAGATATGACATCATTCCAACTGTAAACAGCTCTTAGAGCAGTGTTTTTCACTGTCGACCCCAACTACCACAAACAGACTTTCCATGAGAGGTTTCAAAAAATTTCTTGTCAACTTAACTCTTTCGCCCGGTTAATTCCGTATTTTCCATGTAGCTTAAACCGGTTATTTTTTTGCCGAAAATCGACGTTTTAGCAGTTATAAGTTTAAATTTCCAATATCTCTAAAAGTACTAGACAGAATTACTTCAAATTTTCAGTGTTTATAGTAAATATATTCATTTTCCATTTCTCAAACTTTTGCAGCTTAAGTTTGACATTTAGAATACCAAAGGTGGTGTAAAAGTTAGCCAACTAATAAGTTAGCCAACTTATTCTATATCTACATTTTCAATACACTTAATATCAACATTTTCAATACACTGTACTTCATAAAAATGGATACTAAAAGTCATACAAATATCAGAGACAAGTAGCAGTACATACAAAGTACATTCAGTACACTTTAGTATATCCAACTATATGATATTATCAGATTATAACTGTTTGTATCAGAATAAAATCATCACATTCCGTATATAATTTGTCCTGCAGCAGCACGAAAGTTTCTATGTGTATGATAGATTTCAAAACATGGGGCAATAATCCCTAAGGCTTGGCTTAGATACAATGCCCATGGCCAATTGTATCGCTGTATATGCTCTTAGCTCATCTACTGTCACCTCGTACCATTGTCTCAGCCGAGATCTTGGGCTGAAGTTATCAAGTCCACCAGGCACATCAAAGTGGCTGAACGCATAATTATTGGTCTCATCTGTTATCTTTGTCAATAGTTCATCAGGATAAAATATCTTGAAATAGTCATAAGGTGTGAAATTGTCTGTATTGACGAGAACACCACCACGGCGTGGAATATTGAATTCCTGTATCCAATTGACTTCATACGGATCAGTGGAGTCATACAAATGCCAATCATACTGGCCATTGTCTGGTGGAATTGCATGACGACGTGGTCTGTCAGGTACAACTTGATCACCACCAACTGAAAGTCAAAGCGCATATTCATAAAAATTTTGGTGACTAGGCCTACATTTCTGACATTTTTATATGTATATATTATGCTAGAACACATTACTCATTAGGGAAATGTACTATCTGATGATTTGGTGTAAGCCCATTTTACATTTACTTACCTTGAATAGCTTGATCTTTGTCATTTTGTAAATTTTCATTTTGATCAGAATCATTATCATCGATATCTGAGCCACTTTCAGAACCAGAATCAGCAAAGATAGCCTCTGCATTATCTTCATTTATTCTTATTCCTCTGGCAGCCATTTTTAAAAAACAAGCTAGACAATCTATCGTGAAAATAAGTAAATAGTGGCAAAATTGTTCGAATTTTACTGGAATTTTTCATAATTTTACCGGATACGGAAGTTATGTTGACAGTTTAGTTCAGTGTAGAAATGGTAGGCACATTTTTAACCGGGAACTGTACTGGTATGCCATCTATTTAAATGAAAGAAAATGATTTCCATAAATGTCGACCTACGGTCGCCTAACCACGTGTACCGATAAGTCGACTATAGTCACCTAACCAGCTGAAAGAGTTAACCATGCCTAACCATCGACAAGGTACAGTGACTAAATATACCGTAGTACACTTTTGATGTACGATGTCACTATTCAACCAATTTGAAGCAAAGACAATAATGCAAGAGTGATGTAGGTTTTAAAAAATTAATCTTCGGAATACTTGAATGATGTCATGTTTAATTTCATGTGTATTCATTTAGGAAGACATTTAACTTTCTAATAACGTTAAAAGATTTTCGAACAGTGCTCAATCTTTTTCTGTAGTCAATCTACCCACGAAAATTGATCGATTGGAAAATGTTGGGTTTTTCACATTTCCTTTGATCATTTTTTCCCCTGTTGCCTAAGAGTGTCGATTATTTTTATGAGAATATGTTTCTCTATACTACACAATTTAGGACGGGTGGTGATTAATTAATATTCAAGTATTTATTGTAATTTAAAAAAATCAGAAATGTGTGTTGTAAACTCGATTGTACGTTGTCCCTGTAATTGAAATGCATGAGATATATGTAATATTAAACAATGTAATGATTTCATTTCAAAATTCATTAAAATTTCCGGAGCGATCTAAATTCCCTGAGGTAGCTTTCTGAAACGTACCTACCGTATGGCGTGATAAAAGTTGTCAAGTATTGGCTCTCTTCGGACAAGGGCATCTGACAGAAGCCGTTGGTTGCGTCTAATGAAGTAAATACTTTACTACCTTCTGCAGAATAGTGTCTACTGTAGGTAGCTTATATCTTTCACGACATATTGATTCATTTAGCCGTCTATAGTCGACTGTTATCCGGAGCCTACCTGACTTAGCAAGTACCGGAACCATTGGTGAACACCATTCTGTTGGTTCTCACACTGGGGCAATTATTTCAAGTTTTTTCATTAGGTCAAGAGTGTGGCATAATTTCAATGGAAATGGTACGCGTCATGGCACATTTATACTATATGGGGTAGCATCATCTTTGATTTTATTTTCACTGGGGGACATTTCATATTTCCAACCTCGCCATATAAATCTGGGTCATGGATAATCTTATCAATATCATTGTGACCTGACCTATCATTTTATCCTGAGTAACCTTATCAATATCATGTATACTTTGAGTAACTTTGTTACTAGATATAGTACCTGGTTGAGCTCCGTCAGATACATTGAGATTTGACATTGTGTTACTGGGAGTGTGACTTTTTTCAATATTGCCCTGGGCTTCATTTAACTGAATCAGATTCAAATTCTTTGACGAATTTCTGCTTAAAAGATTATCTGACTTTCGATCAACCATGTACAGCCTCATAGAGAACCTTTTACCATTCAAAGAGCTTTAAGCTATAAAGGATCCCTTTGAAGACACACTACCTCCCACAGTCTTTATTATGCCATTGAACTTGGCCAACTTTGGCCTTGGAGACAACCTCTCATATGAATCAGGGGGTTATCCATCGCCAATGTCTGCAGTTTCTCCGAGAGAAATTCATCTTCGACATTCAAAATTATCCTATCCCTAATCTGTTCATCTCTGTTTTCATATGCACAGTGCTCACTAAGTTCTAAGCTCTCAATGAATGTTTCAATGCTTTCATTATTCCTATCCCAAGAGCACAATCCGAATGTTTTGCGTTCATGTATCACGTTCACCTCGAGTATAAAGTAGTCGTTAAAGCACTTCAAAACATTATCATATGTGCGTAAATCACCTTGAAGCTGTGCTGCTTCCGCACCCTCTACAGGTTCAGCAAATTGAAACGATTTGTAAATAATATTTGCTTGTGGCCCCATAGTGTATAAAAATTGAGCAATTTGTTACCTCATCCTCTTTGTGGAGTTTTGAAGCTTGTCGGAATGTTATGAATCTATCTCTCCAAGCTGGCCATTCTGCTGGTCTGTCGAACTTGAATTCCGAAGGTGGTGAAAACTTCCAAAATGTAAATCCAGTGATCCACGAAGCATAAAGTTCACTTCCTCTCTGCGAAGTTCTATCACGAGTAGTTCAAGTGTGACGTTGTACGACAGTTTTTGGGAATTTTCCGCTGGAATATCTGTGAATTCTCAGACTTGAGTCCCTTTTTTTCTGTTAGTGCTTTTCAGCTTTTATCTTAAAGCCTACGAGTTCTTGATAGATAGTTCTATCCTCTGACGACTGAATCCATGAATCTGACACCATGCAAACTGATCATTTGGTTACCAGACATAAAACTTTGGGTTCATTTGTAATGGTGTTTATGCTCACTCCTCTATCCGGGATGTAGGTACTTGACGAAATGTTATCAAATAATAATCCTGGGGATTGTTCATACATTACACATTTATCATTACATGTGTGGCTTTAAAAGAAGTATTTTAGTACCACCAGTACTGCCACCATTTATATAATATCACCAGCCAATATCCGGAAGTGAATTATTAATTAGGTAGTGTCAGCTGGAACAAAGGGAGTTTCAGCCATGTTAATCGAAAATAACATGGCAGAGAAGCATCAAAATATAAGAGGCCACATATATCGGGTGGATAAAAAAAAACGTCCCGAACTTTGAGAGTTAATATCTCAGAAACTATAAATAGTATATAAGTGAAACTTTCAATATTATAACTTCATCCTATTGCTTCTAAGACCTGAAAGTTTCGATGCAATACCTTTAGTACTGTAGATTGGGTTAATTTGGCGCCCGCTTTAATTTGGCGAATTTGGCGAAATTGAAAAATTCGCCAATATAAATCTTCGCCAAAATTTAGAATGAATCCCCGGGAATTATCTAGGGTATTTCGTCCAATGTATTTAGGTCACGTCCGGTTTAGTTTTTTCCAAAAATATGAAAAAATGTCTCATAAATTGGCTCAGAACTGGTCAGTCACTCATTAATACTCAGGGAAAAATAAAAAGGAAAAGCGCGGTATTGTAGCAGCATCGTTCGAGGTGAAAAATGTAAAGGATGATTTCACAAAAATGTACAAACGTGGTGAATATTGCCAGTGGTCCTCAAAAGAAAAAATGAACATAGCCAAACATGCCCATTTACATGGTAATTCGCAAAGTAAGTTAATTAAAAAATGTTTGCATATCCGCCAAATTAAATAGCCGCCAATATGCCAAAAATGGCAAAATCGCCAAATTAAGTAGCGCCAACTTAACCCAATCTACAGTATTAACAACATAACGTTAAAAATAAAAAGTATGGTCCAAAAATGAAATGCCGGGCTATAAAGTTATGACGTCTTACCTTGAAAGTTAAAATAAATGATCAATGGGGCCCCCATCCTCACTACACACTGCTCGAAGCCTTTTCTTCCAGGAACTAATGACCTTCCTTATCTGTTCCATGGAGATATCTTCCCATCCCTTTTCAATGAAACATGCCTCAATTATTGACTTATCAGTCTTGCTGAACAACATGATTGCAACTTGACAGTAATCTTTGGAAGACTAAAGTGATTGCGATATGAATAACTTTTAGCAAAGACTACAATGTAGCAACATTGCACTTTTTGACCTGATCTGCAGTACAGTATTGCAAGACAGTACACCAATGGACTTTCAGGAATGTATATTTTGACTGGGCAATGTCTACAATGTAGCTAGACAACATATAACTGTTTTTTTCTATTCCAAGAAGACACATTTACAACTCAACACCTGGTTGACAAGTGTCAGACGAAAGTTCCCAGGTAAGACGTCATAACTTTATAGCCCGGCATTTCATTTTTGGGCCATACTTTTTATTTTTAATGTTATGTTGTTAATACTAAAGGTGCTGCATTGAAACTTTCAGGTCTTAGAGGCAATAGGATGAAGTTATAATACTTAAAGTTTCACTTATATACGATTTATAGTTTCTGAGATATTTACTCTCAAAGTTCGGGACGTTTTTTTTATCCACCCGATATGATAGCTAAACTACAAAACAAACTAAAATATACAAAAGTTAGGACAGTATAAATGTTTTTATTTTCACATATACTGTTTCAATATGCTCCTTTGATTGCTTATTTTTTAAACTCAAAGTAGTTACAACCATTTAAACTTTTACTGTAGGCTAGTGCTGATACAAAATAAAAAAGGGTGAGTTTTAAAACTAAACAGAGTGCTCCTACCAAAATGGATTTGCCTACATGCCCCTGAGACTCTTATCTGATATATAGAATGCACAAATAAAACAAAAGTTTTGCTATTATAGGTAAAAAGTTCTCTTCAATTTCAAAGTGATTTTACCTGTTAACTCTGTCATTGGTCCACCATTTTTGCGGAAGTTACACTGAAACACAAACTCCATGAAAAAACGAAATCACCAGGAAAAAACTTGGCACACATCATGCGCAAGCGCATTAAAGTGTGCAATCAGATTATTTGATTATTTTGCGCACATGAATTATTTGCTTGTGAGCACTTACCATTAAAGCTAACCACAATAAACAAACCTGGCGGAGATTACCCTTACTTCATTTAAGCGAAATTTCAGCTCAAACTCGTGACAAATGCATTACGCATATGCTGGTATGAAGCCTTGGAGACACTCATTTTGGTAAATATTGAAACTAAAACGGTCGCCAGGGGGCGTCCGATCATGTGAAAAAATAGTTGGTTTTTAAATAAGCTTCTTTTAACCCAAAATTAGGAAAAGTTTGGTAGTGTGCCTTAGTCGAAGTAATACTTTTCGAGTTTGTGGGATGAAAGTATATCATCAAGGTAGGACTTAAATCAACGACTGGAACCACTTTAGATTTATTTATATGTTGATGAATATAG